TGTTTTGGCTTTCCCTGGCCATTTTGCCGCAAACATCACTATTTCAGGGGGTGCACAACTGAAACAAACAAGCAGCACAAAGACAAAACAAGCTACCTTGCAGGGGGGGGGAAGGGGGGGGGGGTTTATTCATCCTAGGTTCCCATTAATCGAGATAACAGGAATCCTACGGTTTTTGGGAGGTGTAGTTGAGGCTGCTTCTCAATAGGGCCCTGTGGACCAAAAAAACACGACAAAAACAAAAAACTGACTACATAACTGTGTTAGCCTTACAAATTACCTACCTACTAGAACTACCTACCCGCACGAGTAGCACTCCCACTTCCACCACTCCAATACCACTCTTATCACAGTCACAACCACAACAACTACGACGCCGTCAACGGCCGCCGCCACCGCCACCGCCATCGCCACCGCCACCGCCACCGCCACCGCCGCCGCCGCCGCCGCCACCACCACCACCACCACCACCACCACCACCACCACCACCACACCACTGGTTGACTGCAATAATAGACTTTGTGATGCTCCCACGCCTGTTTAGAAATCGGCCTGGCATAGTCCAACCAGCGTCCCTCCCCAGATTCCATTATTGCGAAGGGAGTCATGCAGCAAACATACATCAAGGTGTGAGACTATCCAGTGGGCAACTTCTCGGCAGCCTTCTTCCGGAGCTTTAGCTTTCCCATCTTGATGGCCTCGCTAAGTCAAATGCATCCAAATGCTAGCAATGCTGGACTGCATGCTCGCCCATGAAATTGTTGACACGGGCTTTCTACGTTCGTGCTCTGTACCTCTACAGACATGATATAACATGATTGCTAGTGGCTCCCGATTAGCGATCCAACCTATGCACCCTTGCTACAAATGATTCACAGTTGACAACAGTTGACAACTATGAGCTTCATGAACCGCTCCAACAACTTAGTGAGCACGTAATACTAACCAATGACTTCCTAACAGCAATTACACGTAATTACGTAATTGCTGTCGCCGTCAAACCTATCATTGCATTATCATGAGGGTCATCAGTCGCAACATTATTCACAACTCATACTAGTGTCAAAAACAAACACTATGACTTTCATGACCACTGCTATCTCTGCTGTGATTGTTGTCATCACAGTTATCCTGCAGCTTGATTGACACCGAATCTTACAAGCAAGCGCCGAGGGGCCGTTCAACATCCAGACGACCTTTTGCAAGGTCACGCCTTTTCCCACAAGGGAGAAGCCCGCACCTACATCCGTCCAACGGCAAACTAGGCAGAGTAGTTATCCTAAACCTGCCACCCTACACCCCAAATGAATACATTCCCTGCCTTGAACGGCTTGGCTGAGATGCAGTCCGTAGAATGGCCTGGCGGCTCTCAAACGCAGCGCAATCACTACAATGCGTGGAAACGCACCAGTCATTCATTTGCTTGGTTTTCTGCATGGCTTTAATATCGTACCTGGAAAACCCATGATTGCAAAGAACAGCAACCCTTGCAGGTGGCGCGTTCCTGCTTGAACGCCAGCACTTCAAAGTTACACCTGGGTGTAGAATGGTTTGTTTAGGCAATTCTTACTCTTACAATCTTTTCTTGCTTTGAATTTTCTCGCCCAGTTGCAGTGGCGAGGGCAAGTGAGTGGGAGTGTTTTTGAAAGCTACTTTTTTTTATAAATAGACAGCACTGCGGCACACATCAATCCTATGTATGCACTTAGAAATGCATCCCAAATACTCGAGCTCCATTCATTCATGCCGCTTCATATCAAAAATGCGATGCCCATGGTGCAACAAAGGCATTGTTGAGTACTAGTAGCACGCTGACCGCCCCCGCATGATGAACACTAATGTCTTGCAAGACTTTAATGTCAAAGTCACGACTTGGACATGCTGATAGTCTGATAGTGGGAGATTATCGCTGCTGGCTTTAGAAGGAGCGAGCACGTTGCAGCATGTCTGTCTAAGTTCAGCAACTCTCGTACAGGGAGTTTCGTGGGTGCCTCAACACCTCTGTGCTAACACCTTGATCGATTGGCTTGGTCAAACCCGGGCCCAACTCATGGTCCACCTCACCCGTGTTTATTTTGCCCGTGGTACTGGGAAGGAGTCGCGCTGATATGACCATCCACAGCTACGAAGCGGCCAAGATGCTGCTGTGCAGCAGAGTAAAAACCGTTTTCAGCCAGGATGGTCCAGCCGCCCTCTGCGAGCCAGTGTCGTATGTTAGCATGAATGCGCCGCGTATGCGTAGAGACGTGAAGCCGGCGCACCCGCTGGGCTAACCAAGAAGTCAATCCCTGAAGCAAGCCGTGCTCAGCGCCCTGAGCATCAATATCTACTAGATCCCACGGCTCCTCGCCAGATAGGAGCGACTTCAAGTCCTCTGCTGTTCTCGCTGGGTCCGTCTTCACCGTAATCCTGCAACGACCCTCAGGAAGATTGCGGAGAATGTGATTCTTCAAATCAAGCCCGCTGCCCAAGTCAAAAGGCTCGACAAGAAGGATGTCGCAAGATGTGTGGGTTCCCATGTCTTGTTTCAGCCGAAGGAATGCCTTTGCTGCACGTATGCCCCAGATCCCGATGCGCCCTGCGCCGATTTCCGCCATGCGCAGGCCCGTCCCGTGCCGGGTTGCTGCAGAAGAGGCAGCATGGAGGACGTCAGCCCATTCCAAGTACTCTTCATCCAGGAGAGGCCAATTTCTCAGAGGTCTTCCGCTGATGGCATACAGGCAGTCCAGGGACCTACCAGGAGCCAAGAACAGATGGGGCTCTCCCTGGTCAAGGTCACCACATGCAGCTCGCCAGGTGGTAGTGACGCCCAAGAAGTCTACAACCTTCAGGGACTCAGAACAAGGCTTCACAGAAAGCATCGAGAAAACGGAACAAGCGTGACACTTATCACAGCAGAGCCAGAAAGCTACAAGAACACTGACAGTGCGCTCATGTGCACTCTGTGCAGTCAGCCGAGACCTGCCCCTGCATGGCGGGCCCGTGTATAGGCGGGAAGCTTCGAAAAACTTGCAGGTGATCAACGCCACAGTCCATTCTGAAGATGTTAGGGAGACAGCGGTTTCCCATATTTTCCAGAAAAGTCCAAATTTGGTCCCGTGCATCGCGGTAGTCTCTGAAAACACGTTCCATGATCTCCTCCAGATTCTTGTTCTCGCTAACGTCAGCATGCTCGTCCAGTAAGGTCAACATCCCATCTACTTTTCTCCACATAGCCATCTGAATATGTCTCATGTTTTGCTGGTAGAGCATCCTGATGTTCTTCCAATCTTGGCCCCCGCCAGGAAGCGCAGGTGCGGCAAGCTTCAAGGAAAGATTTTGCAACCTGGTGATATCTTGGTGCAGTGAAGATCTGAACTCCAGTTCCAGATTGCAAGACTGGACCCAGGCGTCCTTTAGCCACCTAAAACACCGGCAAGCAGCAAGAGCAGCGCTGTGGTTCCGTTGGGCTCCATAGAGTGCCACCCGTGAAATACCAGAGACAAGCGGAATCATGGAAGGCACCGGCACTGCATTTGACACCGATCTGGGAATGATGGGCATGCATTGATCCCACAGCGCTGCTGGCTCGCTTGTGTACCGCAGCCAGCTCAAGCCCTGCAAAACATTGAGCAGTTCAGCCTTCAGCCTGGATGCAGCCATGGGCACTGAGGCTCACTGACAAACTCAAGCAAATGACGTGGAATTCAAAAAGCCTTCGAACTTTAAGAGAAGCAGAAAGGTTGCACACTCAACCTCCCCAGAAAGTTCAGCTTCACAGGGAAGCAGGGCTTAGTTCTAGACCTGCATGTTCATATTTCCCGCCAGCACTCTGTATTAACATCTTCTGCTCCGTTTGCAAGACCATGCAATCATGCAATAAGCAACGCTGTCCGTTCGAGATTCCTTTGCGTGGTGCATTGCTTCCCTGATGCGGATTTACGGTGGAGCCAGCACGCACCTGCTAGTTCTCGTGTTCCCACATGATCTGAAGGTTTTCGGGGCAAACAGCTGCTGCACTGTTAACCATGCTGCATAAAAGATTCTAGCACCGCAGCTCGCCTCTGTTTCCCATATGCAAAGCTTATTTCAGAAAACAACAATGTGCCGGGTGTCCATGAATCTGTAGTAAGACGTCCGGGATGGGCGTAACAAGCCATCCAGGTTCCTGCATGGAAGTGGCAGTCGTAGACGCCAGAATACTCATGTCTATTCAATTGAAGCTGCGCCCAGTTGCACAGAACTCTCGGCGAAGCAATTGTAGTTGGACATAGTTGGACCACCATCCTATTCCTTTACAAGTAAACGTTCCTCGCATTTGTCGTTAGCCCCTCCATTGGCACACCTGTCTGAAAGGAATCGGCTACGTGAGAACCAATACTACTCATCTCTACACACCTTACTCAAAATGAGAAACAGGAACTGACAGGAACGATTCCACCGCCTGAGAAACGTGGTCTGGAAGTGGCTCCGCGGTGCTCCGTCTGAAGCCTCGAACGAGTTTAGCCGTGCCCAGAAATGCGGTGACCGTTTGGTTAGATGGAAATGGAAAGCAATCTTACGATGTTTCCTTCCACCTGCAAACGTAAAGTATGAGCAGCACTGGCCACAGCTGCAAACAGTAGGAGTAGGTAGGTCGGCTGCATTGCAGGCTGACCTCTGTTCTAACAACTTCTTTTCAAATCGCAACCAGAGCTTGTTCTCACTACAGCTGCTTGTTGTGCGCAGGTGGAGCAGCCATTGAGGCAATCAGGTCAGGGAACTCAAGGTTGTCAGGAAACAGCGAACGCGAGACTCACATTCCGCAGCCTGCAATTCAACATGAGTCTTGTGGCGTATCTACTCAAGCCCAGATACTGTACATCGCCTCGGTACCGTATCTAGAATCTAGAAGGCGCCTCTTGACCCCTGAAACCTGGTCCTTGCTTTGGGGATGTTCAACCCCCAAACTGAAATTCAAGCAGCTGATGAGCTGGTGATGGTTGGGGTGGTATGACTCGTTCAGCGCAGCTTCTCAGATCCGGACTTTGTGTGGGCAAGGAGGTCAGGCAAGCTCAGGCTGTGGGTGCTGCTCACCTGGCATTGTTGCTCACGCTGTGTACGTTGCGCTCGACTGGACATGTGTTCACATCAAGAAGGCCGACCGCCGCAGCGTTCTCAAGATCTGCGGTGGCGATATACTGGCAGTTGCTTCGCCCTGCATTTCCAAGCGCCGCATCCCGCGAGCCTGAAATGAGGCTGGGTTCAGTCCCTATGCTAGACCCCATTTCTTTTCTCTAGAATAACTGGAAGTGCTTAGTTACCCGCACGGAACCAGCAGCATTCCCACTACTCCAATTGCCATAGCCAAATTGCAATCAGTACTGCAGTGAGTGGGGATTGTGCTGCAAACATCGTCATATGCCGGCATTATGCTGGATATGCGGCCTGCCGTGCCAGAAAAGCTCAAAAGTCCTGGATCTATCGACCCCCTCGGGAACAGCGCCCAGACAAGCCACTCAATCTCTTGAGGTTGAATTCGGCCACTTTGACATCCGTACACTTAAATGCTTCAATACCAGCTGCAATGCTGCAGCTAAGCCAACATCCTACCTTGCTCAAGATGCGGCCTAACAACCCATGGATATCGCGTGACTACCAAACCTGAATCCTGTTTTGCGTCGTGCAGCAGCCGCTGCTTCAGCCCTCTCCAATGGACTACGCTCTGCGGGCGGCGGCGGCCTGTCAGGTGCATGGAATGCCAGAAGGCACCGTCGGCATCACTAAGCCATGCAGACACGGATCGAGGTCGCTGCTGGCACGAGATCGATACAGAATCAAAAGAGCATGAGTCTCGGCGCAGGCTCACACAAAGCCATCTGATATGCGAATTGTTGATTCATGTTTCCGTGTCCTCGAAATAGCCAGACATGTGGCGATGGATGACGTGTGTGGCTCCAGAGGTGGCTCCAGATACTGATTGTCCAGGGCCGTGCGTTCCCTGCCTTTTAACATGGTTGAAAATCTGAACATCCCTTCTCCAAGCAGTAAGCTATTGAAATCGAGTCGGATTCGGCCGTGGCATCAGTATGAACAGATATCTTAGCAAGTGCAACCGATGCTCTCAGGTGATTTGTGCTGACCTACCACGACCTCCTACTCCATGCTTGCCTTCTTGACCACTTTTCCCAAAGCCTCCGAGCTAAACCAAGCGAACACCTGACAAAAACTTTCTGGAGCCTGGTGTGGACTATTGGTTGCACATGAATTTTGCAGCGTAAGAAATCCTTGTACATCTCATGGATCCGAGGTGCCTGATTTTTTGAGATATCGGCTGGCATCGGTGATTCGAGAAAGCATAAGCAACGGCAGTGGCAATACATACTGCCTTAGTAGCATTGAGATCATTGAGCAACATGTCATATCTATAGCGGGGCCCTTCCCAAAGGCCAGTCCTCACACGGAGGGGATTGCTTTCGCTCCCTTGGCGCCCGCTGATTTCTGTGCCGTCTCCTTGTGCTTGCCCTGTTCCGCTTGTGCAAGTGGTGTGACTTGCAGGGCATGTTGCGTTGAACCTTCAAAACCTGCTGCGTGCCCGTGTGTATGTGATAGCAGGTGATTGCAGCCCTCCGTGTTCTTCAATGAGAGCCAAGCCCTTTCTCCGGCAAAGTCATACGGAGAGCAAGCAGACAAGTGCAGATTTTGAAGGATTTGGGGAATTGCAAGCAGCTACAAGGGTCAAAACTTATCTTTCTCTCAGGATGACTTACTCATGCTCCAATGAAGGGAGTGAGCTTTGCAAGGCTTGCTAAGCCTGCATGCTTCAGCAAGTTTGCAGATACGGGGGTCACAGGGTTCGTGTTTGGCCTCGCTGCCGCACGCTGATATCGCTTGGCAGCTGCAAGCTCTGCCTGCTGCGTACATGAATGATGCCTGAGCCCTGCAATTCCTCAGGATCTGGCCTTGTACTCCGTGCGCAGCAGTCTCGACTCAGCGCTGGACTGCGAGCGCTGCGCATCCTATGCAGGCTCCACACCCTCAAACGAAGGCAACCCCAGCAATCACAAATTGATTTTGAACTGCATCGTCGACCTTCTGACATGCTGCAAAATGAAGGACGAGACTCATGGAAGTGAGCGATTTGGCGTGCGCGCGTAAAACAGCAGGGGCGTGTTACTGCAAGCAACAAGTGGCTGCATGAGAGTGAACAAGGTAAATTAATTGAAGATAGTGGAAGCGTGCAAGAATTATTGGAAGTCTTGCACAAGTCCGTAGGTGAGGGACCAAAACACATCTAGGCGGGCTGTGATTTTGATGCATCCTTCACCGCCAGAATTGCCATTCCAAACGCCGCGTATGGAGGTATCAACCAGTTACCCAATGCTGCGCAGATTTGTCCGGTCCACAAAGGGAAGCAGGGGGCCTATGCTCATGCTTGGTCTGCCGTGCAGCTGCATAGAAAAGTGCCATGCGTGCTGTGCCATCAGCTGATATCAGCTGCAAAATGACACCAAAACTTCCTTTTTCCTTCAACACCTCCTCCTGGAGTATTGATGGTATAGTAAACATGTGCCTGTGTAGGATGCTTCATGGCAGACGACAATTGTAGTAGCGGGCCAGCTCACTTATGCACGCGTGCTCCCGGGGGCCCAAGAATTTTCTGGAAAGAAGTCTGTATGAGCCCCAGATTTTGCTGCGAGTGGTCAGCTAAAATCCTGATCAGGCACAGGATTCCTGGCACGTCAGTCAAAAAGTCAACCTGGAAGAGAAACCACAAAATAATGTGCCGTCAGAAAAGCACCTGATGTCGTTCTAGCTGCTATTCACACAAACGAACTGGCTGAGCTGTTTTGCATCGCATTGCGTCCTTCTCGTGGAGGTGCCTGCGCTGCATCCCACGTAGAGCGTGCTCGGATTTGGAGAGCTCGCGCTGTAGCTTGACTACCTCCAGCACAAGACACGCGCTTCAGCAGAGTGGTGTTGTATGCAGCACGTGCAGAAAGGCAACACCATCCCACACAACCAACATCAACCAACATCAACCAACAGCAAGTTGCCGGTAGCCTGCCCCGCGTCTGGAGAAGCCAAAGCCTTCCTTGCTATGCTGGCAGAGGCAACCCTTCTTGAGATGCAGTGAACGAAACTTGCAAAAATTGCATACAACTGGCCTATGCTGTGCATCTCAGAGGCTTCAGCTGCAATTCGGCAGCGGCACGCTTTCTCAGCAGCTGCTCAGTACCAAACTCTGTTTGCAGCTGATCCTTTGCCTGGACAGCCTGCAAATGAAGAGAGGGCATTGCACTCTGAAATCATCAGACACTGCCTTCGACCCATCACAAGAAAGATGCAAGAATTGCACAGATCTCAGCGCCAACAGGAAGAAGACTGGCTCTACAAGTAGCTAGGCAACGCAGATTGAGCACTCTGCTTCTGTTGCTGTTGGGACACTTGCCTTTACACGCAACGTTTGCCCTGAAGCTTTGCTGGATGCCTCTTCTAACTGCGCACGCAGCTCTGACATAGTTTGTGCAGCAGCTCCAGCAACCTGGGCAAAAAGATGCTTCATTAAGTTCAGGACGACACCAACAAGAGCGGAAACAGCTGCACACAACCCATAGTTTGCCCTTTCTGTGCATGGGTTCAGGATTTTGATGCCACGAAGGCCAGGATTTTTGAACACCCGATCGTTTAAACAGGTAAGCCAGATATCAGACAGGATCGCCATGGCAGTTGGCGCTTTGATTTTCCACCTTTTAGCGTTTCAGCCTTTGAGCTGCCTTAGGCCTGTTGAGACAGTGGGTCACCAGAGACTGAAAGCCTGGCAGACTGGAACGGACGGATGGAAGACGGGAAACATCAGGAACCAAACCAATGCCTTCATACTACCTCTGTGAGCTTTTGGGTTCGCTGGGCTCGAAACGCTTGAAAATCCTTGCCATTTCCTGTGCACGACATGGCGTGACCTGGCCTTTTCTTCTTCCACCAGGGCTTGCTGTGCTTCGGCATGTTGCCTTTGCGCCTGACAGGCCAGCCGATCTGGAAGCAGCTTGTCTGGACGTCTTGGCTAAGTTGGCACCTCCTCAAGTTCGCCACAAAGCTCAGCAACCACTCCCACCTAGGCTCCTACTCTGCTTTGCCCTTTCCGTTGACAGTGGCTTGCTCTTCTTTAATGCGACTGTCCGTGACAGGCTGGCGATGGATGTTTAGGAGTGCTTAGGACATGTTTTACGCTCACATGTTGGAGCTGTCGTGGGCCAACGACAAAAAGCAGTCCCCTGCCAATCTTGTCTCAGGTTGAAGAATCCCTACTGATGTGGAACATTTCTGCTGCCGGCCTGGCCTGGTAGGCATCCGTACCCTCTGCCATCGGTGTCGGTGGCATCCTCTGAGCAAAGCCAGCGGCACGTTCAAACCGGGAGTCTGGCCATGGTCGCCAGGGAACTGGAGATCCAAAGACGGCATCTGCGCACCTGAAAACATTGCGCACAGGCTGTCTCGAGTGGGCAGCGGCTGGCACCACATCCAAGCACTCCACCTTGGTCTAGGCGTGACAGTCGCGATGGATCTTGCTGACCTGACATGTTTGGAGGGTTGAGGGCAGCTAGTCTTTTCACGCATGCATCACCAGTGCCTTCTCTGGAGGCCTCCGGAAACTCCTCAACACTGAATTCTTGCTGGGCTGCTTCCACCTCATCATCGTAGCTGTCCACACCCAGCTGAGCTTTTGCATTTGGGGCTTCTGGGCCTTCTGTGACATCTGGGGGCGCTCTTCCATGCACGGAGGGCTGGCTAATCATCTGTGGCAGTTGCTCGTTCTCAGTCTTGACCTTTATTTCGTCCTGTGGCTCTGCCATAGCAGCATCGTCAGCTCCGGTCTCTGTCTTCGCAGGCTGCGCCCCTGAATTGATGGCAACGGCGTCGCCGCCTCCTTGCTGATCTCCTGGGCCTACCTTCTCATGGGTGTCTGCTGCAAGCGCAGTGCTTAGAACTGGTTCCGGAGGCAAAGGCAGCTCTTGGACAGCTTGGTCGTGCCCAGCTAGCTCTTGCGCCTGCTCCTCTTGGCGGTCAGTAGCGGAATCAAGCGCAGAATGGCGCTGTGCCTCTCGTTCGCCTAGCTCCTCCACGTTCACGGGCCCATCCATGACATCCATGGGATCTGCATTCGTGTCTTCGTTTGCATCAGCGCTACCTGGAGGGTTCGGTTCACAAGCCTGTGGACCACTTCCAGAAGCCTTTGAGCCAGGCTTCTCCTGTTGCTCAGCCTGCCGAAAATCTGTGGCCAGTTCAGTCTCTGCACTTGGGGCTTCTGGGCCTTCTGTGACATCTGGGGGCGCTCTTCCATGCACGGAGGGCTGGCTAATCATCTGTGGCAGTTGCTCGTTCTCAGTCTTGACCTTTATTTCGTCCTGTGGCTCTGCCATAGCAGCATCGTCAGCTCCGGTCTCTGTCTTCGCAGGCTGCGCCCCTGAATTGACAGCAGTGCTTTCAACCTGCGCCTGTTCTTCAACTTGCAGATGTCGGTCTGCTCTGGCTGTGAAGCTATCCTTCTTGTCATCCTCGGCTGCTGTGTTGGATTCAGGTTGCGTTCCCACACGCAGCATCGCTTTGTCACCAAGGGCTTGCTTGGTGCAGGCTTCATAATCTTCGCTTCCATGAGCATCGTAGCTTGCAATGCATGGGCTTTCCTTCTTGGCCGGTACTGCTGATAAATCATACAAGGCCTCATTGCTGAAAGGGTCACGTTGCCCAACATCAGCAGCATTGCCAGCATTGGCAACTTCCTGCATTAAGACATCTACGAGAAAGTCTCAGCTACGAAGTGCAATCAAGGGTTCTGTCTATTACCAAGTTTGCCGGCCCAAGCAAAACGCAGCAAGCCTATGTTTTCCATTTCAAGGCAGAGTTGAGGTGGGAGTGGAGAAGATTCAATGAAAATACCAGCACCTATCACGACCCTATGCTCCGCACATGCCTTTTCCTCTTGAATGTTAACCAGTGAGTCAACTCATGTCATCTGAAGTCGCACCTTCCTTGCTCGCACGCGGGATTGGAGAAAGTCATGCCCAATGCATACTCAGGGTAATCCATGAAGCACACGATCTAACGCATCTCTTGCAGCAGTGCAAATTCATCCTTTCCTGATCCAAACTGAAGCGAAGAAAAACTCACGTTGTCTGGGCATGCGCGACATTGCTTCCCATCTTGTGAGAATTCCGCTCTTGAGTTCAGCATGAACGCCAGCAATCACGCGTACCGCTCAATGGCAGACCTTGCCTTTAAACGCCAGCCGAAATGATTCCTAGGCTCGCACGCAGGACACGATCACCAGGAATGATCCATACTTTCAATCCTGCATGTGGATAGTGCTGAGTGGCGGAAATGAACGAAGCAGTCTGCGGCATATGCAGGGGCAGATTCAATCGATACCTCTGCTAGCCAATGCACAGACAAGAACGCCGCACAAACAGAGATGGGGATGTTTTGTGATACAAGCTGGGCCCAGCGGGTGATGAGGATGTCCAGTACAAGGCTTCCCCGAAGCTTGAACCTTGTTCATGGAGGAGTTTTCAACAAGCAAGGGACTTGTTAGTGACTGTCGGCGTCAGTGTGTTGTACATGTTGATTCTGACGAATTACGTCTTGCCATTTAGCTAGTTTGAACATGCTTCGGTGTTCCTTCTTTCCTGATTTGTCCTTTGGGTCTGAGGCTTCTCCTGCAGCTAGAGCAGAGTGCGATAGTCAACACCAAGCAAGAATAAGGATTAGTCCGAGTCCCATTTAGCAAAGTTGCATTATCCCCTCCGCCAAGATGGTCCAATCCTGTAAACTTTCATGCTTGGTCACTTAGACCTGGGGCACGAGATGCCAGGCAAAAAGCTGGTCACGCCCTCCTGAAATGTGCTGTCCATTTTGAGTAAGAATAAGGAACGTGGAAGATTTCCGCAGTGGACTGTGACCTCTGGGTTGATCCAAACACTCGTTGCAATGTGTGGACTTGGGACCACGACCACTTCTAGTAGCAGGGCCCACGGGGCCAAGTGTGATTTCCTGTGAATCTGCACTTGAGGCGCGAACAAAAGCTAGATCACAGCAAGCGAGTCGGATTTGTTTTACGCATGTTGATCGAATGTTGCCAGAATGTCCCCACAGAACCTAGTACTATACTGGCTTCCATGCCTTCCGTCCCTACTAGTCAGAGGTAAAGCACCCTAGACCTCATAAAATACCAGACGATCCCACTCTTCCCTGCGTAGTGGTGTCTTAGATGGCCACTGCGCAGGCACAATCACTTGGGCAACACTCGATCAGCATGCGCAAAAAGTCCTGTCCGGCTTGTCTGCTGTGATCTAGCCCCCCCCACCTGTGGATCCCACCATCTATGGTGCTTCTTTGAATGGGCCAGGTTCAAAAGAATATCTGTGCCTTTCTGTCATGATTTTGCAGCTTTGCATGGAAAGCTTGGCACGCCGATGTTCAAGCAGTCTCAAACTAACATTCTGGCAGGCATAGGGGACAGAATGGGCAGACCTACATGCTGCTTTCTTCTGGCAAAAACAACGGACAGTATTGCTACACTATTGCTACTAGACCTTCTAGACCTGCGCTTTGATCTTCAGAAACGGAGCAAGACCTCGAGCAGGCTTTCGTGCTGCCGACGACTTGCCCAGAGAAACAACTGTGGAGTCGCTGAGCCTCTCCCCTCAACTCAAAGTCTGCGACGGAAAACCTGGTTCATTCAAAGAAGAACCGAACGGGTCCACAGGTGGGGGGGATTTCTTGTCCTCTAGGTGTCAGGTGAGGGGGAGAGTGTCGCCCAATGTATCAGACACTTACCTGGGAGGGCGGCCCCACAGCTGTCCATAGCCCAGGAGACTACATTGGTAAACAGAAGCTCTGCAAAAAGCAGCGATTTTGTTTGGCCCTTACTTAGCCCATGTCCTGCTGACTTGTTCGCATCAACCGAAACTGCACAGCAAAATGGTGTGGCTCGGTCTGTTCGCAGAGCATTTTACCGGTCCAAGAAGGACCCACGCACATGTTCATCTAGTAATCTAGTAATCTAATCCGTCCAGCAGCGAGCGCGTGCTGAAGCCTGTTAAATGTGCTTCGATGTCCTGCCAAGCGGGCAGACGGAAACGCCTGCTAATCCCTTGCCCGATTCATCCCGATTCGTCGTGTGACTGAAGCCCCAACACCTCCCGCCCCACACGTGTGAAATCGGGACGAATACCATCTACAATCGTGTCCAACTGCTTTCCAGAACGCAAGCATGACCCTGTAGACGGACTCAACACAGCAACCAAGGCGGAACATGCTCTCGCACCTTTGCATGACTTACTTGTTAGCCTCCGCTGTACACTGCGTAATGGTTACACGAGGCCTCAGACAAGAATGTCATGCGACAAATCGACCTGTAAACAACAGACACCGGCAGCAAGCACAGAGAAGTAACGCAAGAGCGCAAACATGAAATCGGCAAAAGGAGTGGGCATTGATAGAGAAACATGGAAACCAGCGAACAAAGCGACCAACTACAACTGCTGCATTCCTGCTGGCATGGACTTTATCCGCACGGCCCCATTCGAGACCAGTAGCAAATAACGTCTATCCGCAGGTCAAAGCCCTACTTTTTTGTAACCTTACGCGACTCTAAGGGCTGACACACGACCTAACATCCGTACAGAACTGTCTGAAATTGTGCTGTAGTTCAAAACTCTTGTTGCATCTTTTGGTTTACAAGGTGTCACGGCTGAAAAGACATCAGATTAAAAATGATGCTTGCTCAGTGCTCGTGATGTTGGCATGTAAGTCCTGTGCGGATGCGGAATGTTCAGCAGTTGCAGCCGCGTCTGTCGGCGGCACTGCTTGACGCGAGTGCAAGGTAGATCTTGCACGTTGCAGCTTCATTTTCAGCGGACGACCCTTCAAGAAGTTCTTGAATACCTCAGAACTCATGCCCTCCAGCGGTAGAAGTTCCTCCTTGCCAACTTCCATGAGAATGTCGCCTTCCTGCACATCGCTCTCGCTACCAAATGAGCCCGCAGTCAGGACCTTCACATCAACACGACCAGGCGGCATTCCGCTGAAGGAGATGCCAAGCTTACCTACTTCTGAACCTGCTACTACGGTGTACACTGCTTCATTGATCTTTGAGGGGTCTGAATCATCTGGAACGTCCGCTGTGCCATCTTGCTCGGCCAGTCTGGAATCTGCAATAGGACTTGCATCAACCATAGTCCCGGCTGCATGGGCTGCTAAGAATCTCAGTTTCAGTGGTCGGTCCTTCAAGAAGCTCTTGAAGGTCTCGGCACTCATGCCCTCCAGAGCCTGAAGCTTATCCGTGCCAACTTCAATCAACACGTCTCCCTCCTGCACACTGTGGGCGCTGCCAAACATGCCCTCCGCAACGCCCTTGACTTCAATGCGCCCCGGGGGCATGCCATGGAAGGTCACACCCAGTTTGCCAACGTCTGCGTCTGCGACAATGGTGTACTCGGCTTTGCGCAGCACATCTGACAGTTTTCGCACCTCTGTCATGTCATGAACTTGGAAGGAAGGATCCTGCAGGATAACCGATGCGGCATTTTCAGCAACTTGGAACTTCATTCTGAGAGGACGATCCCTCAAGAAGCTCTTGAAAGTATCAGCGCTCATGCCGTCCAAGGAGGCCAAAAGATCTTTGCCAACTTCCAAGAGGATGTCCCCCTCCTGAACACCTCGCTCATATCCAAATAAACCTTTGGCAGTGCTCTTGACTTGTATAGAGCCAGGTGGCATTCCATGAAATGTGATTCCGAGCTTTGCATCAACATGACTCGCTGCGACTGTGTAGGATCTGTGAGAGCTTGAAAACTTCAAACTCAAGGGCCGCAAAGCCAACTTTGGTCTGAACTGGTCTTCTGGAACTGCATCAAGCTTGTCACCAAGCTCCAAAAGTTCGTCTCCAGCTTGCACTCCCTGGACGCAGCCAAATGAACCTGCGGCTACAGCACTCACGAAGACCCTCTCTGGAGGCGCCCCGCGGAACTGGATACCAAGTTTCCTGGGCTCTGGAGCTGAGACAGCGAGGTAAGAAGACTGAGCGGCGCATCTAAGCAATACAAGGTCTTCATTCAATCACAAATCCAAGCCCTTAGGCATCCAACATCATGCGAGCGCTGGCTTCTGAATTCTGATGTGAGCCGGGTTGTTGGGAGGTAGCCAAACGCAGCATCAGATTTGTTGCCGGAGCTCTATTCAATTTCTCCAGGGACTGAGCGTGCATGCATGGTGCGCCACTGGTACTTAAGCATCCCTGAAATGTTCATGAAACTGTCAAGGCTCTGCACATCAGTCTCCGCCACAAGAGAATATTCCCGCAAGCTCATGCATGCACGAGAGGCGGGCCCAACGTGACGCTGCTCTGCGCAGCTGGAGCCATAGCACTGTGCTGTACATCAAATTTCAAGAATATCCTTCGCATGTCAAAGAGGCATGTTAGTAGGCATGCTGCAGCTGCTGCCTCCGCCGTCTTTACTAGTTACTAGCTAGCGACGGCAAGTGAAGCTAAAGCATGGGATGGACGACACTACGCGACTCCTGCTGAAGATTCAAATCCGAGCTGTCTCAGCAGCTGATCAGCCGAAGCCCCCTGCACCAAGGGCTTCGCACTACGGGCCACGCATGCAATAAGAAATCTTACCAAACAAGAAATTAGACCCTCTCTGATGCAACATTTCTTATTCGAGGGTCAAGGCTACGAAAAATGAAACTCCTGTCAGCGAGCCCTACCCAAGGTGCACGCAGGCGGTTAGGGTTGTTTTAGTGGAGAACCGGGTTCCCTTTCTGCTGCCGTAGAATTTATTTTGCAATTCTAAATTCTGAGGGTGCCTCAGGGTTACGAAGGCAGGAAGGAGTCCCGGAATGTATTTCGCGATTCTAAATTCTTCACGACTCCCGAGAATTGAGCCCGGAATCTTGCCGTGCAAAGCCGACATTCTTACCACTAAGCTCCAAGGGCGCTGACCCCGACCCCCCCCCCCGACCCCGTTGCCCCTGTCTCCTGATGGGGGAATGAGAGGCGGGCACCATTCCCGCCCCCCTCCGCGGCCTCTGCCTCACCCCAATCAGGAGACAGGGCCCGGGGGTACGGGGCCTTTGCAATAGAGAACAGGCGAATGGTCCAGAGCGATTTTAAATTCTGAGGGTGCTTCAGAGTTACGAAGGCAGGACGGAGTCCCGGAATTTATTTCGCGATTCTAAACTTTGAGGGAGTCGGGGGCCGGAGACAGGGGGTCGGGGTCGGGGGGGGGGGGCGGTCCGGTTGGCTGCTGGAGCTCAGTGGTAAGAATGCCCATCTTGCACGGTAAGGTCCCGGGCTCAACTCCCAGGGCGCGCAAAATTTAGAATCACAAAATTAATTCCGGGACTCCTTCCTGCCTTCGTAAGCCTGAGGCGCCCTCAGAATTTAGAATTGCAAAATAAATTCTGCTGCAGTAGAGAGGGCTTCCTGAGGGAAGGGGCATGCGTCCGTTTAGGATTGTTTTGATGGGGAACTGGGATACAGAACAAGAAATTAGAGGGTCTCGTATAGAGCTTGCCGTTTCTTCTTGAACTGATTCCCCGTATTGAAGCGGCAGGCTTGGATGGTTTTGAGGTTGCAGAGCTTACCGAGCGCAAACATGCAGACAGGAGCTTGTACGCAGCCAGCTACATGGTCCTTATATTACGCAAGAAAAGATTGATGCCCAAAGGACGGATTTGAAATGCGAGGTCAGCCTCATGACATGGCGCCATTTAGCAGACAACGTCCGGACCAGGATCTGAAAGCGCCGACAGCCGGTATGGTGCAAGCTGCTGAAATGCTGTATGCGTGTGCTGGCATTTCCTAATATGGATCCACCAACCACCTTAACACCCTTTGACTGATCCATGCTGATTCACTGATGTTGACTCAAATTTCGAGGGCAATGGCACAAATTGATGTTTTCACCAACACCGCCCCGTCAAAGACCATGAGCGCTTGCCACGTTCCCACACGGAAGGGTGAGATCCTGAGCTTCGGCAGGCCTTGCATATCCGTGCATCAAACTTTCCAAACATGGAGGTAGACGTCTCCGTTTTCAAAAACCAAGTCGCACCCCAAAATTCAGAATGTCAACCTGAATTGAACAACTTGGCAGCTGCTAGAATCTCCTGGAAACCCTTCAGTTATAACAACGTGCTATTACAGCCTCAGATCCGTTCATGATCTCGTACCATCTGTCGTTCGTTCTGAGCAGGTGGGCTGGGAGCCAACCAGCATGTCCAGGCAGGTTGGCATTGTGCACAGCCAGAAATTTGGGCTTGCAGGCCGTCTCTATGAGTGGCCACACGCCACGCAAGTCGACAGGAGGATCGAGCATTACCATGTCAAGGCCACCGATTCTGCTGCACAGTGCATTGAAGACGCCTAGGTTCTCGAATAAGTCTCCATGCAAAATCCAAACGCCTGGATTTTCCTTCAGAAGAGCAGCCATGCCATTCGTCAGCCCATCCGGACTAGCCAATGACAGGATTCTGGTTGAAATCCCCACGCTCTCCAGAATGTTCTGAGCATGATATGCATTTCCCAAATGCCTTTCCATGGTAAAGAAGGAGCGCTGCCGGCCCATTCTTTGAGCTTTAGCCAGCGCATGCGCCAGCAAGAGAGTCGAACCACCACCAACTCCGGTAAAGAGCTCTATCGCAGAGTTCACAGCGCGCGCAAGGCACCAAAGAGCACGACCAAACTGAGAGGATCGCGATATGCAACCAAGCTCACTTGCTTCCGTACCTCCATCGAGACGGATGTTGACACGAACCCAAAAGCACAAATTGCAAAACTGACAGCAGCCGCAGCCATAGTTGTATAACACAGGAAGCATGATGAAAGCGGATCAGTAATGTAGCATCAGATCAGGCAGCATCAGAGTTTCGAACTTGTGCCTGGAAAAAAAGATGTTGCTGGAGGTGGCATGTCCATCCCCATTGGCTCGCAGATTCCCGGCATCTCCAAGAGCGTGTTTTGGAAACCACACTTGGAAGCCAGAGTTCGCTCACACCGTCGCAGAGATTGCCTTATACGTAGAGTGTCATTCAACACAGGCGAGCAACGATGGCTTTCGGCCGATGCGACGCCTGCAACACCTGCAATGATGATGACGATGCTGATGATGATGTGCTGAAAGGAAACCATGGCATCTGCCCGGCTTGAGCTAGTGACATGTCTGCTGCTTCCCTTCACGTGATTGTAGTGCAAGCATGCTTTCTGTAGCAAGACAGGTGAATGCATTGCTTCCTGAAAGGAATAACATATTTGCCATTTGTTGAACTCTCTGCTAGGCGCTTAATTTGCCATCCACATTGACAGACAGCTGCTGGCGAACGCAGCGCTTAATATCCCATCCACATTGACAGATAGCTGCTGCGGAACGCTGCACAGTGGACGCGAGCACCAACAACAGAGTCCGTTGTCAGCAGGGTGTTCGATCCCGGGCCCACTCTCCGGGCTTACAGTTACAATGCTGCACTTTGGATTTCAGCAGGTAGGCACGAATCTGCATCACGAGGGTGGCATGTCGGGCTGTCCTGCCAGGATTGCACGTCAGCTGCTTCCTCAAGAGTCTATCAGACTATTTCTAATTGCATGTTGCGAAGTCTCATGTGAATGTCTCAGGGCGCCTGTCAGGACGGATGAGTAATAGTCGTTGTAGTCCAGACGCGTGGCCAAGTTGCTCAGGAAGTGCTCATACCGAGCTTTGGACTCCTGCCTTCATATGACGGGCTTGACCAATCCCTACAACTCATGAGAAACGAAAAATGCAACAAGCTGTTGCAGAAGATCTTCTGAGACGCAGTTCATCCAGCAACTGCATTGCTGCGAAATCCAGTTTTAAGGCTCAATGCAACCTTGTTGCTGGATCTGACGCAGAAATGCTTGCAACTGGCTCTCGAAAATTGTCTTCCACTTCGCCATCATCTTGGAGTAGTGCCTGTGCACTCGGTCTGCGATTTGTATGATTACTATAGACATGTCCGCTGACGCCTGCAACCGCAACATCTAAAGAAAGGGCAGGTCAGTTAGTTGCCTCTGCGAGAGAAGGGATAGGTAGCGCCTCAAACGACTTGCAATTGACAGTCTGCTGTTGATTGTTGCACTGCATGACATCAGCCAAGCGTGTGCCAAGTCTCTGTGTGCTATGACGTGCCTTTGCCAGCCTGCCAAATGACTGCATGCTTCTTGCGCAGCGACTGCGATGCGGGACGGACACGCAGCTGCTCTTAGCAATCCAAGCTCAACAACTCAAAATCCATCACTTCAAAGGCAGAATTGAAGAAAGAAATTCCAGACCCTACAAACGGTTGCAAGGTTTAGGTTTCAGGAGGTTTAGATGTGGTCTGAAATCCGAAGAGTTTGAGTAGGCGCTTCCATTCAAAGCCAAGAATTGTAGTTCTTATACCGGGGAGCCCGACCTTTTCGATAGCTTCTAATTCTAGGGGAGTGCTCTTATTTTTGAAGAGCTCAGATTAGCCTTCGTTCTGCGGGGGTCTTGCCATCCAAGGGTTCCTCCAAGGGCTCCACACCGATGCTGTGCGAAAACCTGCCAGCTTTGCCCATACATGACAAGTGCGTGATGCGATAGCAACATCGCGATACCATGCCTGCGCAAGTTGTGAGCGAAGGTCAAGCACGTCTGCAGCACTTTTGACAAATGCCTGCTATGAAGAATGGTGGACATAGGCCATTACAACCATACTCGTTTTGCAAGGAGCTTTGCTACAGCGCCAACTCCGCACCTATAGAGATCTCGCTCTGTAAGAACGACTTCGCGCAAGCAGGCTTCAAGAAAACGGTCATGGCCTGAGCAACACAAACCTTTGCTACCTAGCTTTCAACGCATCATGGTTTCACAAAAGGTCAATTATTCTTCCGGGTATGCTTTTTTTCGCACATTTCATATAACACAATGGATGGGCCAGCTGGCCACGTCTATCAAGCGTTCAGAACCATCAGCTGGAAGAATTCTTAATGACCAATGATACTGAATGATGTACAACAAATAGGCTTAACAAACGGGTTTTATTGACAGAAACAATAACGACAATTTTCTGAAGCTTTCCATTCTCTCAGGCTTTAAGTTCACACGTATCCAAGACAACAGGCAGGTGTTGGGATTTGATGATTTGAGAGATGGGCAAAGACGTGGTCAAGCTAGGCACAGAATTGTGAAATTGGCAGGATGTGAGAGATTTTGCGCGGATTTGAAAATCTCGGAATACCTCGTAAGAGCGTGCGAGAAAACCAGCCCGGATACGAGAAAATTTGCCCCGCATTTGAGAAATTGACAAGGTTTGGATTGCAAAGGCCACCGTAACAGCTGCAAGCTGCGCCACGCTCAGACTCTTACCTCGTAGAGCAGCTCCATAAGCGTCATAGCTGCGGGAGATCGCAGGAGGTTGCAAGACACAAGGGCAAAGTACGCTAAGCAGCAAAGGTCACCGCACTGCTGCTACTGCAACATCGAATCTCCAGCACAACGCTGAAAATAATTACGTACTGTCAGCAGTATTTGCGATTGTAAAGACAAGCAGGGGTAGCACTCTGTGCTGCATGACGAGCATATACGAACATGTGAACGGAGCTGCCTGTGTTACCTAACAGTCGACTGAGCACTTCGCCTGGTTTTGACAGCATTCCGCCGTGCTCAAGCATGAGGCATAATTGGCATCTATCTTCGATTCTGCAGGCTTCAAGAGCGCTGAAATGAAATTGACACCTAGTTTGGACAGGAACTTATTGCTTGTTTTCTCGTGGTGGTTAGGAATCAGGACGGCTAGGAGTTCAGAGATAAGCAGCAAAAATCAGCGCCGTCATTTGAATCGGCTTGCGGGCATGTACAAGTAGCATGCCCGGGAGGCCGCCGAGTCAAAACTGATTCTTGGGAAGGGAGTTTTAGAGGCCCACGATGCCGAATATGAAAAGCAAGTCAAGTACGCAGAGAGTGTTTGCTTTACCATGTCCTCATTTTGAATGCACCACCTCACACACATCTGAGAAAACGGGCACTCATGTGAGAGAAAAACTTGAAAGGCATTTGTAGATCGGGCAATTATCGGTGCAAATTATCTTGAATACTTCGATTTTTGGAGGGTGACGTCGTCAATTAAATCTTATGGGGTGAGATAAAAATGTTCTGCCTCGCATTGTATTCCATTCCATTTTTAAGTTGAATCGTGAGCCTTGATTGTGACAACGGACGCATGGAAGGGGAGCTAGCTAGATCTGGAAGGGTAACCCTAGGACAGTGTCCTAGCCCCTAGAGACCTAGAATTGAGTCCAAAATAGCCCTAGCACCGTGTGCTAGGGCCGTTTTGGGGCCCTTTTTGCCGGGTGAACCCCAGACGGCGCTCGCACACCCCAGGTTGATCGTGGCCACGATGGAAGCGGGTTTGCGTGGGTTGCAGCTTTACCAGAATCGTTTCAAAGAATTGTAGAAGTTATTTCTCTTTATTTTGGTGACGTCGTTTCCATCGTTAAGTGTCTTAAATTGGACACTGACGTCGTTGACTGATTGACGTCGTTATATTTTGCCCAGAATTGGGCAGATGTGAGAAATTGGCGATGGAAGGGATGTGGGCACATATTTCAGAGAAGGGCCAGAAATTGGAAACTCAGTTTGCGATTGGGAAACTTGATAGGCGTTCCATAGAGATAAGAATATCGCTGACAGCCATGACTCGGATACTAGGCGTCACATTCTTTGACATGCCAACCTAGACCAAAATAAGAAAAAGGTGTGTGTGTGTGTGCGTATATATGTACATATAGATATGCAGCTATGCTTGGCTTTTGTATTCCGAAATTCCCATCATTATCTGCTTTCTTTAAATCCTTACCAAGTACTAACTATCTCAGATCCGTAGTGAATATGTTACTTTCACATTATGGTGATTTGCATCAGCTATGTAGGGGTTTGAAAGGCTTGTTGGGGCTTACTGGACTGCACGCATTGCAGCAGAGAGCTATCATCTACCTACCTATAGACTACCAAAAAGTCCCATTGATCTGAGTACCGCTCAGTGTAGCACATCGTCGATTGTCTCTGCTTGTCGCAAAGTGGTAAGAAACTCGTGCGACTTTGGCTCCAGCACTTCAACAGTTGCATAATAAATGTAGTCACGGCAGAAGTGAAGCATCCGCTGCCTGAGAGAATAATACCTCGGGCCGCATCCTCATAAACTCACTGAATTGAACATTGCACGTCGCTGGAGTCAGGCAGTGCAGACGCAGGCACGGGCTAAAGCTCGAGTCCAAGCCAAGCTCTTTGGTGCATTGATGGTCCACCCAAACTTCCACAAGCTTCCGCTCCACATATCGACAATAAAGCAAGTGACGAAAAATCACCTGACGGCGTCTGACTGCACGAGCAGCTTGAAGCCGTTGCGAACTCTGGCCAAGCCTGGTTAAGTGCACGTCAGGCCTGGTACTTCAGCAAGATGGTTCGCGAGAACAGGATCGAAAGCGGCCAGGCCGTCCGATACTTCAGAGTCAGACATCGCACGCCGGAGCCCTCACTGCCCACACCTCATCTTTCGTGCAAGCAAGCAATCGGCATGGCAATGGGAAAACAAGCCGCTGCCTCCAGAAGGCGCAGTGGATGATACCCCTGAAGCAGAAGCATCCTCCTGCAATCGCTGAGGAGTGTTAGTGTTGTGCTGGGCAACCATCTATACTATAGATCTATACCGACTGTGAAGCTCGGACCAAGAGGCTCTGTAGAGACATGAAGCCCCAAACCACGGTCAGTGCAGCAGCACCACAGAAGCTCCAGTCGCCACAGAACCAGCAAAAGGTGCCGCACAAAGGAGACGCTGAAAGCAAATCATGCATGAATCGGTTCCTTCTCTGCATCTTCTGCAGAGCCTTTCACCATCCGATGACATGCGTCCTGCCAACTGTTTGCGGAGCGGACTGCAGTTACGTCACGTATCGTCACGAACAGATACTACATCAAACGGACTGCCCGTATTTCAACAATGCCTATACGATGCCTATATTATCAAACTCTACAATGCAAACAAGGGCACAATGTGTCCTCCACGCGGAAGGAGTGCAGGCCACAAGAGATGTCTTCACGGTACGGGTCCGTAGCCATGGACGAAGCACGCACAGCCAGATCCAGAAGACTATCCAACCTCGGAAGTTCAATCAACGGGACTACTCTCACTTTACGCCTGGTCGCACCCATGGCTGAAGACGACATGCTGCCGTGCCAAGGGTATCTCTTCTGCAGGCCGTTCTAGCTCCCCCGCCGTGTCCAGGAAGTGGCCAAACCAATCAGCCTGTCTATCTTGCGGCTGCTTCTACAAAGTGCTATCCGGGTAGCTGAAGCTTGAAGGGGCCGCTCGCCTTGCTCAGGAAGAAGAAATGCCGCAAAGACTTCAATCGACCCAGGAGATCCAGCCCATCCTTTACCAGCGCTCGAAGCATGACAGAACTGCACAATTCGTCTGGAACCAAATGATAGCTGAGCGCAAGCAAGACACGGGCTGCGGTTTCATGAAGAGATCCAGCAGAGCTGCAGCAGCTCGTCGATAGGCCACGTCTATCGCCTAAAAAGGGGGAAATGCCTGCAGCCCTCGGGACACATGGGTTCGTCAAACCTCTTTCTGTTCAGCTGTTCTCAAAAACCGTTGACAGATGTTGAGAATATTGCTGAGAGCCTCTGCATAGTCCCGCCGCCGACGGGAGTAGCGGAAGGGCGCTCGTCCTCCTGCGGGTTCCGGCAGCGGTCTGCCAGGTGCGGCTGAGAAGTAGATGTGAAGATACTTTCCTGGATTCAACGTTGGTGCTGCATGACGTGCCCATCGGCATGTTTGGGTTGCACATGGATTCTTCCAAGGCACCTGCATGAAGAATTCGCTCCCGACTGGAGGCCAGGAACTGAGGCACTGCCCTTGCCAAAATCATCATGACTAAAGGCGACAAAAGCAAGGGTCATGGTGGTCACCTCTGCTCTGTCTGCTTAGCAGAAACTTGTACATTACTTAGAGTCTGCGTACATTGTACGTGTTCTGACACTGATAGCAGCTTATGAACGGCGTGCAATGACACCGATGACAATTTACCATGAACATTGGTTTGCATCAGTCATCATCGGTCATTACTAATGGAATCACAGCGGGAAAAAGATGTTCAAAGCAAATGCGACCTTCTTTTGCCAGAATTTTCAGACAGCGCCTGTTCATCAAGCACGACCATCCTTGAGCTAGGAAGGTAGCTGCATCTGCTCAAGACAAGTAGGATCAGCGATCGAAAGAAAGATGTCGTCAGGCAATACTGACACGACTGTTTCCGATAAATTGCACTTGGCTTGGGTGGATGGTTTGTCAACATCTGCTAGATGCTGTTGGCACTTTCATAGAAAAAAAGTCGTTTATGGCCCTCAGCAACAAGTGTTGGCTCGCAAACACTTTTGCGAGCGGTCTTCTTCTTACGCAATGTAGGACTCACTTGCGCGAGCAAGCCACTCTCCTTGAGCTTCTCGACAGCGGTCGCGATGCGGTCACAACCGCGTCCGCTTTTGAGCTTATTTGGGCGACCTTTTCCAGACTCCAATCCTTTCATTCTTCACTCGCATATGTCTATTATTAACACTTATCTCCTGCCTTCGATGAACGAAAGCTGAAGAATGTCAGGTTTGGGAAGTATTTCGCGAACCTACATCTCTGCAACCATTGACACGGTTGACTGTTCCAGAATGTTCAACCGCAGAATCCAAGGGCATCGAAGCGATGCCTCGCCATCCATGGCATGACAACACTGCATTTGTGATTGTTGATGCACAAAGCTGATTAGTCTCTCTTGCCGCTCGCATACATTGTTTCTTTACATGTGACATGTTGCACCACCCAATCCTCTGCAAAGCGTATGAATTCCATCTCAATAAAGATTGCCGCGATCAGGCGTTGCGCCCCATCCAGTCCCCAAACGTTTTCCACATACTGCTTCACGTGTAGCGCCTTCTCAGTCCAGAATACATCAGGCGTGATCCTTTTGACCGCACCATGCACCACAGGGTTTCACACACGCGCACACCAAATATATCCAAATATCAAGTCTGCGCCTGTTATCAAATAGTTGTCTCTTCTTACAAGTTTCTGTATGTTGAGTCGCTTGGGGATCTTGGGCGTTTTGCAGCGTACATGAGAGTACCTGAAAGGCAGCAGATTGTTCGCAATGTGCCGCTGTGACGGATTTCGCAGTTGAGAATGGCCGAGTTGCAGGCACAAAGCTACAAGACAAGGACAGCTAAACGCTCCAGATTTAGGCGTCCATGTAACCGGTACAACAAGCAACTTGCGAGGTGGCTGATCGCACTGTTTTCCGACCATTCTCATAACGGTGGCTATATTATGCTATATTCATAGTCTCTGAAATTGAACCCAACTTAGATTCCGAACCGATGTATCCAAGGATACATTAGGTTGCGAATAATGCGAATGATTTCCCGTTCGTCATGATGAATTCCACATACAGAGACTATACAGAGAATGGAGGAAATAGAACCCGTATAAAGAGGTTAGTTGCCCACTAGGGTGGGAGAGGTGGGAAAAAGAAAGTTTTACTGAATCTGGAGCCGTTCCAATTTGTTGATCCAAAATGGCATATGGATTGAATTGATCACCTGTAATCCGCATGCGATCAACATATCTCAGCCTGAAGCAAGCTAGAAAGTTGTCATTAACTTCGCACGCGAAACACAAGACAACTAGACGTTCCAAATTTAGGTTTCCATGTAACCGGTACAGCAAGCAACTTGTGAGGTGGCTGAGCGCACTGTTCTCCAGCCATTCTCACAACGGTGGCCGTATTCATAGTCTCTGAGATGGAACCCAACTTAGATATCGAACCGATGTATCCAAGGATACATTAGGTTCCGAACAATGCGAATGATTTCCCGACGCAGTGTTCGCATTCCCGTCGTAGTCGAACGGCGAACGGTGTCTCAGGGAAAATGAGGCAACCGCCGGTGAAGTGCTGTCACTGAAGGAATTGACTCGAAGCCCAAAACAGAAGCCAAACAAATGTCCCCGAGGATTCTCTTGCATCGTCCGGTAATATCCCGTACGGGCAGCCGGATGCGAATCCAACTTTCGCTGCCGGGGGATGTCTTCAAATCTACTGATGGGATCCGAGACGTTTGCTCTAGTGGGGACACGTTCTATCCGATGTCAGATGCCTCTTCTGTGCCATGTCCAATGGGCACTGATCAGGCAGCTGAGGCTGAGGGGTTGATGTTTGCCTGTCCTCCCCTAAGGACGGCACGTCGCGCTGCTTCATTGTCGCAGCATTGGACGTAAAACGGTCCAAGCCAAGGCTCGAAGATGATGGGCGCGAGGACGGCCACCCATGCTTCGAGCAGGTAGATAAAGGCCGTGTTGCTGCTGAACTGCTTCAAGATCTCGATGGGCAGGCGTCCCTGGAAATAAGCAGTTTTTTGGGCGTCTCCTCCGTTGACGAAGATGCCTGCGCCCCAGCCGCTCTCGACCTTTTGGTGAAGTCTACTGGCGTCCCATCGGCGGGTGTCTCATGACCTGGCCTCCTTCGATATCCCTTGGCAACGTAGGAGGCATCCGTGTAGATGATGGAGAATTTCTCCTGTTCGATGATCCTGGGTATGGTCATGGGTCGGCAATGGTTGATGATGTCGGCGTGCAAGGCTGCCAATGCGGGTGTCCAAATGATGGTGGGTGGAATTGGCTCTGGTGTACAGTGTAGAGGGCCTTGAGGGGCGCCCTACCGACCTTCCCAAAGAAGCTGCCTGTGAGGAAGTTGCGCTTGCCTGCCATCCGTCTAGCGGTCTAGCGAGGTCCGGGGATAGCTGCTGCTGTCTAACGCACGCCTCGATTTCTTGGCTCATCTTGGCGACCCGATTTGGGCACGGCTTGACCCTGATGTTGTCCCTGTCTGGTGCGATGATCACTCCCTGGATGCGTTGCTCTACTGCTGGAGGTTGTGTTTTAGAAGGCTTCATGTTGTAGCCGAGCGCGCCGTTGAGGTCCTCGAATCCGTCGAAGCCCGACTCAGCCTCTTCTGCGACCTCTGCGCTGCCGCAGTCGTCGACATAGCGCAGAGCCGGGCACAATCCTGGAGACTGCTACCAAGCTGTCGCCGAAGCGATTGTATCCCCAAACACTGGCGGCGGAGCCAAAGAGGAGCACGTTGTGACTCCATAACGCGGGGCCGACCGGTGTAATCAGCAACACGTAGGCATGTTCGGGTTCACGAAGGGGTAGTTGTCTGTACGCACCGGCGTGATCATGGCCCCACACGTGTAGGTCGGATTCTGGGTGTAGGATACGAAGGTCTGGTGTGTGGTGGTATGGCTGGTCACGCATGATGCATGTCGAGTTGTGTCCGCTCCTTCTCCAAAATTCTCCTCTACGAATCTTGTCTTTGCCATCGGATCCGATTTGCTGGATGCTGAAGGCGATGGCAACGCGCGGCTCTCTGCGGGGTATGTCCTGTACGATACGGTCGGGACAACTCTTGGGTTGTATCGTGCGATGTGTCCAATGTGGTGGTTGTCGGAGGGGGCCATTCATGCATCCGCTCCTAGCCTCCTTGATGATTTCGTCAAGCATGAATTGGTGGTGTTCATCCGTTCGGTTCTATGAAACTTATGAAACTTTGCTCTCCACATATGGAAAGTTAGCCTCATAACTTATGCTTTGGGAACAGGTGTGCTTGAAGTCACTTGTATTCAGAGCTTTTGTGCGTCCCCGTGGAGGCTGACTCCACGCGGGGTGATCAGGAGCTGGTTGAGGCATGCCGTGGTCACGACAAGGTTCACTTGTGCCGGAGTTTGACTTGCGCGGAAGAGGGTCAGCACTTTAAGGAGTATGGCCTCGCGAAGGACTTCGACCCCGAGAAGTTCCAGTTGAAGAACGCGGAGCTGGGCGCGGCGAAGGCTGGGCGAACTTTATGGGCCTGGCTGTGGTCTTCTTGCCCAAGGGATGCGTCCGAGTCGGAAGCCGAGCCGGAGAAGCCATGCGAGGCCTACCAGGTGTCCTGGGTCGACAAGGAGGGCGACTTTCGTTTGGCGACAGGGCCGCGCCGGAAGCAGGGCGCCGTGACGCGCCAGTTGTTGTGTGCTCACCATGGCCTGGATTATGAGCGTGACAGAAGGTCTCAAGGCTGCAAGCATCCTGGGTGCGACCGTGTGGGCTTCTTGGACGGCGGCGGCATTCGGCGACGCAGGCAACATGGCGGTGGGAGACGGCCTTCGACCAGGAGACGGTCCCCATCGGTTACCAGGACGCGAGAACCTGAAGGCGACGACCCTGAAGAACCCGACCTACCACCAGCACGAAATAAAAAACATCATGTTGACCAGGGCGGGCTCAAGAGGATGCTTGAAGACATCAAGGGTGAACCTGGTGGCAGCGATCCTCGGCGAAGAGCCAAGTCGCCGGGACACACTCCAAAGTCGAGCATCCATCGCAACTTGGCCAAGTTGGGCATGCTGGAGTCACCCGCCAGAGATGACCCCCCTCCCGATCTTTGAGGACTTCTTTAATCAATACGCTGAAGGTCGACCACTTGGCCTGTCCGAGGAGGATGTGCGTCAAAGCTTGGCCGTGGATCGGGGGCTGGCGGTCAGGGAGGTCACCTTGGCTTTGCTGCAGCAGGCGGCAAGGGAGCAGGAGAAAGGCCAGAAAGGCCTAACCAAGTTCATCACCGCGTGGAGGAAAGCGATGCCGGCGACAACCTCTCCGTCGAGTGCGCCGTCATGGGAGGTAGTGGAAGGACTGTCTCCTGAGCCGGGCCCATCACCAGGGCGAAGTTCGACTACAACCACTTCGCCATTGAGGATCAGTGTGCCTGGCATCTATGGCGCGGAGGACAGGAAGGCCGGGGCCACGACCATCGAGGAGGACACGTTCGGGGGGC